ATGATGCTTGAGGAAAGGAGGTGTAATTGGTTCAATGGGCAAGGGTGTTTTATGTTCTCTTATTCTAAGTTTAATTGCATGGACTATTTCCGTCATATACTTCCCTTTCTTCCCATCTTTCACACTTGCGAGATGCACACCTATCGGTCTAATGTAATACTTGCCTCTTGAATATTTGTTAAGCGGGACTGTTCGGCATCCTGAAGTTAGCTTTCATAAACTGGGAATTACTTCCCATATTAATTCCTTGTTTTTCCTTTTGAAAACAAGGATGTGCATATTCATTTTCTTCTTATTTGGCTAATTTATTTGATCTTCTCAGCTGGTATCACGCAACACCGCTGTCTTTCTTCAGCCCAGAAAGCAGAAACTGATCGAAGATATTTCTTTCACCCTTTCCTCCATGTTAAATTACTTTCAATTATCTGCCTTCCCACCTCACTATTTGACATGCTACAAAATTATAAGTTTTAGTCTTCATACCATATTGCAAGTTTGGGTGTCATAATAGTTCCTGCAAGTATTTTCAGTAGCCACATTGTGTCCACACCTGAGCTCCTTCCCCAACGGTTTCATTCCCTCCTATTGTAGACAGGGGTATTGCTTATCTGAAGGCAGGACCATCCTTTTATAAGTGTTAACCGGACATACTAAGCACCAACATTTTCGCCTGCTTGCTGTTTTTTTGCTGAAAAGTAATGTACCCGTTACTCTCACTCCTCAGCACTTTACCTCATGTTCGGAAACTGATCATGGGCTGCTTTATTCATCGGATCAATTCGATTTGTATGAACGATAGACTGTAGTGAAAAGCTTCACTCTATTTATTATCCACACTGGGCTTCTCTACCCAAACCAAAATTAAAATGCAGGTATTCATTCCGTTCTCTCTGCACTTGCTCTTGTATGCGCACTATTCGGTACTTACTTTTGCCTATCTATGGGTTTAGTATAATTCGCACACTTATTCCGGCCACCATAGGTGGATATTCAATTCTTATTTTCCGAAATCGTCTATCATTTGGGTGCTAAATCGATCCCTGGAATGTCAGTAGGAAGATAAAGAAGGAATTGGCATCCAGCCACTAAAACAACAGTACGTCGAATGAAGGCTCAGTTATTTGCTACGTGGAAAGGCGATAATGCAAAACTATTTGGCATAAATCAACTGTGCTCGTCTCTCTGCTGAGTGCTGTTATTTGTTTATTGTAGGTGAGGTTAGTACAGAAACAGGATAATGGTTATATTTACGCAATGAAAATCCTTCGAAAAGCTGACATGCGTCAAAAGGACCAGGTGAGTCCCAACTGCCTATCGCCTATCATTGTTTATCTTATCGTGAAATTCTCTTGCTGTACTTTATTGTTGACTTGTGTTTTGCTTCTCATCCTTTTAGATCGCTCATGTTCGAGCAGAACGCGATATCCTCGTGAAGGCAAACAATCCTTGGGTGGTTAAAATGTTTTACTCCTTCCAAGACTCGGTCAATCTCTATCTCGTCATGGAATTTCTTCCCGGAGGTGAGTTTTTTCGTCTATAAATAGTATAAATTCAAAACTTCATTAACTGCGTTATCTGACGATTCT